GTATTATAAACACTGGTCCCCATACCACAAAAAGTTCCTTCAGGAAGACCTTGAACTTATTTTTCCTTTTTTTGTTGGTAGCTGTCAATTAACAAATAAAGAAAGGTAATATGTTGAAACCAATTGGTTGATTTTTAAGCAATCATATCTGGTGACAAATTCCTCCTTTTATAAAAAAAGGATAATCTCTTTAGGCAATACTCTCATGTCAAAATTCTTTTCAAAGTTTCCTTTTTAGAAAAAGACACAGTGCATAAGTTGTGATTTGGCAAGGACCACTGCCCAACACTAACAAATTACAAATCAGAAGTATAACCTGGGTACAGTACTACAGATGCACGAGCCTTGGCCAGAAAAAGAGAAAAAGTAAGCTACAAAAGAGTGACAGTATTGATTTCTATTTGGTATAATTGCAACCAATCATAACAAGACTAGTAATTTCATTCAGAACATGAGGGACGTCGTACGAATTGCACTTCTCAAGTCACAAGACATTGTAGCCAAAAATCTGCAGTTTGATTCCCCTCTCAACATCGAGTAACATAACAGAAAACCAAATTAACCTACGAGTACACAACTGTGGAGTTCATAATAGAGGTGTGGAGTACGTTTTTGTTGTTGTTGATAGATTTTCTAAAGCATCGCCTAGCATGTTGGGTTTGTTTAACTAATTTGTAGTTCCAAGTCTTCCAAAGAAAAAGCTATAGGTAGGTCCAGGGAGAAGGTCAACTATTGACAACACTTTTAAAGTTCAAACTTAAAACAAGCTCAAAAACACAAAAATCAAAATTTCTGGTCAAGCTTCATAAAATCCCTTGTCCACTTACGAGTTGAAGGACCATTGAGATACTCATATGAAGGTGCTCCCAAGTAGAAAGATTGTCTCCTGTCCATGTTGTAGCATACCTCTAGCTACCTATAAACCCAGCTCTGGTAAGAACAAAAGGACGGTTATTTTCATTGCCCAATTTCATGCCTTCATATGTTGATCGTGCCATCAACATCCCATAAACCTACAAAGGACATCAAACATAAATAAATATAAGTTCTAAAGCTTATCATAGTGGCAACCATAAGATGGGGGTGAAGATCTTTATAAAAGTGTAAAATGTAAAGCATAAGAATAGAGCTATGGATAATACATTGTGATAATGCGAGTGATTTTGACAACCTCCAAGTTCAATATCTCCATGATGCACGTTGGTCCCAGGCATCATCTTTGTTGCAGCCTGTGAAGAAACATGCTAAGACCATGAACAAATTAAAAAATATGCAAGCAAGGGAGGAAGAGTTTTGAGCATCACCTTAAAAATACCTGGTTCATTCATATCATTCCAAATACCATCAACACCATTAGAAATGAAATCTTTCACTAAACTAACCCACCATGAACGAGTTTTAGACAGTGTAAAGTCAGGGAAAACACAAGGCCCAGGCCAAACCTCCCCTAAAAAATAGAGTTAAAACTTAAAAATGAGTATCCTTCTTCACGTTTGATCCCTGGGTCAAGCATGAATGTAAAGGCATAAAGTGATCTACCAACAAAAGGCTTTCCATCAGCTGTTTCAATCTAGACATCTTTTTCAGAACCACTATCGTAAACAAAGTATCCTTCTTCATGTTTGATCCCTGGGTCAAGTATCCAAATTGCTTTGAATCCAGTGAGATGCAAATCTTTCACTAAAGATTTTGGATCTGGAAAGCGGTCCACCTAGGGCGCTAGGACCAACCGATAACAAGGCCGATCATGACAGCGAGCCAAATTGGGACTGAGGAGAGTAAAACGTCGAGGAATGTCTCGGCGAGGCCTGGGCAGTGTAGAAAATAGATCAAATTGAAGAAGCTCTGCTCCATTATTGATCGGTGTCTATACAAATACGTGTATGTACATGAGAGAATCAATAAATATATATATATATATATATGTATATGTATATACAAAGTGGAAGAGATAAGGAGATGAGGTGCTAAGCCATGGAAGCTTGCATAGATGGTGGTGGCGGTGGTGCTTTGAAATCGAGAGAGAGAGAGAGAGAGATCAAAATCGCTCTGAGATGAAATCAAAGATGAATCTCTGAGAGAGAGATCTAGAGAGAGAATCGAAATCGGGGTGGCAGTGCAGACCGATCTGAATCGAAATCGCGGTGGCGGTGCAGATCGATCTAAAATCGGTGAATCTGTGAGATTTGAATCGGTGAATCTATAAAATCGATGAATCTCGCTACCTCGCCGGTGCAGATGGTGGTGGAGGTAGAGCTTCAAAATCGGTGAATCTGTGAGATTTGAATATGAGATTCAATGTTTAGAGAGGATTGAGAGAGAGGCGACGTGAGGATAAGGGTTTAGACAGGATTGAGAGAAAGAGGCGACGTGAGCATATGTCTGAAGACCTAAGGGTTTACAAAGGCTTTATTCTATTCAAAATAGGCACGTGTGACGTACCGCATTTGAAGGCGTTTTTAAACGCCTTTGCTCATAAAACAGTGTCGTTTTAATTAAACAAATATGCGACGTTTTTAAAACGTCGTTAAATATTAATAAAAATGACGTTTAAGAAAACGCCGTTAAAAAAACGTCGCAAAAACCCTTATTTCTTGTAGTGCTACTAAGGGCTGGTTTACGAAGTAGTTTTTTTGGTATTTTGTGATTAAAATATGAGGTAAAAAAATTTAAAGTGTCTGAGAATAAATTTTTGATTTTTTACCCTCCCCAAACCCTCTCCAAAAAAAAAAAAAAAACATTTTGAAAAGAATCTTTGACTTTTTTATATAATTTTTTGAATTTTTAATTAACTTTCTAATAAAATCTTTTTTTCCCCAAACACACCCTAAGTAACGAAGCAAAAAACGCTCCCAATTTTTTTTTTTGGCTAAGGCTGGTAAGAGCGCAATCAAAATATTCATCAGATTATTTACTATTGTTACATTTTTTTCTTAGCAAGAAAAAACACATCTGGCATGAAGTACAGATCATTAGAATTTGTTAGTAATATATTTTTTTTGTCTCCTTTGAGAAGATTTAAAAAAAAAAAAAAAAAATTAAAAAATAGGTAAATTACACTAACATCCCAGGAGATTTCTATTTCATACAAATCTCCCTTCACATTTAAAAAATTAAACTTACCCTATGTCAGATTAAAATGATATTTTTACCTCTTAGAATTTATACATATAAAATAATAAAATAATGCAAAAATTTTGTTCATGTTATTTCAAAAGAAATAACAATTATCTTCTTTGGTGTAATTCACATAAAAAATAGTTTTTTTGTTTCTATTTTTTGTATTTTTTATTTTTACTAAAATTTTAAAATATTTTAAGCAATTTTCTTATTTTTTATATACACCTAATCTAGATATTCTTGAGAAGTATAATATTTTGTGATTTTTTTTTTAAATTCACCAAATACAAAAAATACAAAGATAAAAAAATTTAACACATTATCTTATTTTGTTGTATTCAATGAATTTTTTTTAAATTTTTTGTACAAATTTTATACTTTTTAAATATATCTAGATTAAATTAATCTTATCTAGATAATAAAAATGAAAATTATATTCATATATAAAAATTTATAAAAAAAAATATCATAAAAATGTTGTGATAGTAATATTGTTGTAAATATAAATCATGTTTATGGATGTTTTGTTTTAAACTATCTTTTTCTGTCTCTCACTCTCTATCTCTTTCTTTTTTTGTCTCTCTCTCACTCATCACTCTTCTCTGTCTGTCTGTCTTTGTCTTTGTCTCTCTTTTTCTCTTTGTCTTTCGCTCATCTCTCTTCTCGCTATCTCTCTCTTTGTCTCTCTCGCTCATCTTTCTTCTCTCTCTGTCTCTCTCTTTTTCTATGTCTTTCTCTCGATCATCTCTTTTAGCTCTCTTTTTCTCTCTCTTTGTCTATCTCTCGCTTATCTCTTGTTTCTTTCTCTTTTTCTGTCTATCCTCTCTATCTCTTTCTCTCTCTGTCTCTCTCTCTGTCTCTATATCTCTTTCTCTCTCTATCTCTCTCTTTTACTCATCACTCTTCTCTCTCTCTATGTGTCTGTCTCTCACTCTTCTCTGTCTCTTTCTCTCTCTGTCTCTATATCTCTTTCTCTCTCTATCTCTCTCTTTTACTCATCACTCTTCTCTCTCTCTATGTGTCTGTCTCTCACTTTTCTCTGTCTCTTTCTCTCTGTGTGTCTGTCTGTCTGTCTCTCTCCCCCATTGTGTTCACCTTGCTCACTCTCTCCCTCCCCTCTTCTCTATTTACCAAGCTCTCCACTACAAGAAAATGCACTTTTAGCGACCACTTTGTCTCTCTCTCGCTTATCACTCTGTCTCTGTCTCTCTCTCTCTCTTTATCTCTATTCTCTATCCGTCTTTCATTCATCTCTCTCTCACCACCAATCTCCTTTACCACTTTCACTACTACTGCAAATGTCATTCCACTACCACCATTATTTCCACTGTTGCCACTCCACCTCTACGACTACCATTACTACCACCATCACTACCACTCCACTATTACTACTACTCCACCACGGCCACTCCATCTCCTCTACCACTACCACAACCACAACTTCACGACTAATCTCCTTCGCCGCCACCACCACCACCACCACCACCTCTTAGCTACCACCTTCACCACTACTGTCGCTCATTCTCCTCTACCACAAAAAATTAGCTCTTAATTTTTAGTAACAAAAAAAAATGGGCCACAAAAAAATATTTTTCATTGACTATAAAAAATTAATTTTATTTTAACGGAAAATATTTTTTATTAAAATATTACCCCTACTTCTACCAAATAACAAAAAAAATCATTAAAATAAAAATGAAACAAATTTCCCCTTTTTTTTCACTGACTCACTCGACCCGCCCGCCCAAACTCTTCCCCATTTTTTTTCCCTCTGTCTTTCCCTCCTTTTTTTTTCCATTTCTTTTCAGGTTTGTAGAGCCCTAAGTTTTGAAACAATACTGTCTGTCTGTCTGTCTGTCTCTCTCTCTCGAACGGAGGCGAGCCCTAAGAGAGAAGAGAGACAAAGCAATGGAAGCTGCGAGGAGAGAGAAAGCAATTGAGCACGAAATCGGAGGTCTACAAAATGACACTCTTCGTTTTGGACTTCATAGCGTCAAGAGCGAGATCGTTGGATCTCATCCCCTTCAATCTGCCTATCAATCTGTATCTCTCTTGTTGGCATGAGTTGTAAAATAAGAGTGAGTGTTGACATGGGTTCTTTACAACTCATGCCACATGCACTCTTGCTTTGGTTAAGGAAGTTACTTACAGAATTTGATTTCCCACCTACTTCAGTAATGGAGTTATTTTGTGATAACAAAGCAGTCATTAGCATTACTCACAATTCGGTCCAACATGATCGTACAAAGCATGTTGAAGTGGATCGATATTTCATCAAGGAAAAGCTCGAGGCTGGGATAGTTCAGTTTCCGTTTGTCAAATTAGAAGATCAACTGGCAGACATGCTAACTAAAGGCGTGTCAAGTAAAATGTTCTACAACTCACTCGACAAGTTGGGCATTGGCGATATCTTTGCACCAACTTGAGGGGGAGTGTTGGCATGAGTTTTAAAATAAGAGTGAGTGTTGGCATAGGTTGTAAAGCAAGAGTGTATTTGGCATGAGTTGTAAAGAAAAGTGAGTGCAGGGATTGTCTAGAATAAACTCTGTACGATAGTCTAGGCCTCGTTTGGGAACAGGCTAATTTAGGCTAATTTAGTAACTTTTTGGCTATTTGGTTAAAATATGAACTAAAAAAAACTAGTATGTTTGGGATGACTTTTTAACTTTTTACGAAAAGATGTGCAAAAAGTAAAAAGAAATTTTTTTTTGATTTTTTGATATAAATTATTGATTTTTTAAATAATTTTTTGACTTTTTTACTAAACCGACCTGTTGCCAAACGAGACATATATATATATATATGGACTTGTATTTCATAGAAAAGAATATTAATGAGAGCTGTACAGTTGTTCCATGTCTCTACATCTCTCTCTCTCTCTCTCTATCTATCTATATATATATATGTAGATATGTGTATATTGGTCTAATTTATGTATGTATGGTGAATCAGACAAAGGAGGTGCAGGAACAGATGAAGAGGAGAATCCTTGTGAACACGTACGGATCGGCTTTTCCTTTGAAGATGGACTTGGATCGACAAATGCTTTCTAGGTATAAAGCTAATTTTCTCCGTTATTTAACCTCTCGCTTTTGCTCCTCCGGTGTCTAATTGATTCACTTTGATTTTTTCCTGTTAAAATATGTGCTCAAATTAGGGTTTTCTCTTTGTGAATTTCATTGCCTAACAATTGATGTTTTTAATAGATTAGTTTATGAAAGTGTAGAAGATGAAAATGAAATTAAAGTAGCGAACCAGGTTAGTGAGAGTTGAAGATCAAATTTTGTATTGCTCTTTTTGTTGGTTTTGGGGATGTTACATATTTGGTGCCATTTCATTTGTCTATTAAGGGTTTTGTTACACATGTAAGTGGAATGAAGGGAAAAAGGTGTTTGCTTATGTGGTTATTCATTTTGATTAAGCATGTATATATATGACCTTCAAAACTGACAAGTGTTTTGAGTGTCTTGATCGATACTGATTGAAGTTAAAGAGCTAGTTCAAGTAATGGGGATTGCTAGCATAACTGAATTATGGGGCTTGGGTTTAGGCTTAATGAGTTTAATATAAAGAGAGGTGTCTGCTATCTTAAGAATTTGAAAGGAATATTGAATTGGAAGCAGAAGCTTCTAGTAAGTAGTTGTAAGTCTGCATTATTTGGTCTGTCACTGTTATGGCCTTTTAAATTATAATTTTTATTTGCTATGTTGATGGTAGCGTATTTACTTGTGTGACATATTTTGCAAATCCTGTGCTTTCTTCGTTTGAAAGTGCTGAAAAGTTACCAATATTTTAACTCATATTTATCCTATCATTTATTACCACAATACCATCCAATGTGGGATTGGAATTCTGTTAGTCTAATTCCAGTCTTGTCCAAAACACTAGAGTGAGATATATCATATCCTCTAGGATTCCATTCCCAATCCCATTCTAATAAACTATATCTTACCTGGGTTTTAAATCAAATTAGAGTTGTGTGTAGGCTTCTTACTATCATCAGTGAATATGTGGAATAAGAAGTTTGTTCGTTGGGAATCAAAACAATGTTATTAATATGCTTGTGCCTTTTGGATGAGGATATTAAGGTAAAATAAAATAAAATTAGGCTCCATTTGGATGCATGAATTTTAGTAAAGGGTTTGAGATTGAATTTTATAGAAACAATATGAAGTTACTAATAGGTAGATTGAGAAAATAAAAGGAAAAATAAGCTAGATATAAAATATAATTTATTTTATTAAATTCTTGTAGATTTCTAATAACTATTTTTTTGTGTCATTTCAAATTTACCATAGGAAGTTTTCAAATTCACAATTTTTAAATTCTATATCTAGATTATCAAATTCGAATCTTCTCATATCAATGAGTATGACATTTATTTGGATTTTCCTTTTCTATTTATTAAAATTTTCTTTTATATTATTTGTGTGTTTATTTAATTGCATATAATATTTCCCACATGGAAGTCACATTGATTACACCTGACCCTGAACACAAAGCCTAAGATCTGATCTTCCTTTACAGTATATAAAAAGAAAAAATAATTGAAGTTTCTATTGACAACTATCAATATTCTTTGATTGCTCCTCCATATCTTGACAAGTTTAAGACACTGTTACAAGTATCTCTAACTTCATTAATCAATCAAAAGTATTTATTAATTTTATTTAAGAAACAAGATTTTTTTTTTGCCCATCATACCTTAATTTATTTGTCTTCTTGTAGTTCTTGACAGACAAAATTGTCTCTTACCATTTAGATTTATTTTGAGTATAACTCATATTATACAAAATTTAAATTCTATATGAGTTTTTGAATTATATTTAATTTGTTATTATATCCATGGGCGATGTATTTTCCTTGAAATAGATATGCCAAATTTAGAAATTTGACTTAGCATTATCATAATCTAATGATAAGGGGGCATGTGTTTGATTCAGTCCTAAATTAAAATTACATATTAATAAAAGTAGGAAAACTGTCAATGGATAGGAAAATTGTAATATACACTTTATTAAAAAATACATATGCATTTTTTTTTAAACTACATTATAATTATTCATAATAATTTTCTAACGTTCATAACAAAACTATAATACCACTTTGTAACTATTTCAATTGAGGAAATTATTATTTCTAATAATCTCAACCATTTTGGGGGGCTTACATAGACATATATGAAGTAATGAGAGAATTAGAAAAGAAAAACAAAAATTGAAGTAGAAGAAAATAATGTGGAGCAGTTAAGAAAAACATATTTACAAAATAAGTATAGCTAAAATGAAAATGTTTAGATGGATAGGTAGGGACTGAATCAAGAAAAAATAAGAAGAGGAAAGAAGAAAAATGCAAATAAGTCTTTTAAGTGTACAAGAAAAATAAAATAAGAAATGAAACTATTAGAAAGAAGAAAGAAGAAAGAAGTTTTTTGGGTGAATAAGAAGAAGAAAGAAGTTGGGAACATAAAATGCAAATAAGTTTTTTACGTTGAAATGACAAATAAGTTGAAAATTTGATAAGTTGAACCAAGTACCAAACCTGTGTGAATGTGAAGTAAAATTACATAAGTTTCTGATCAAAACAAAGTAAAACTACATAAGTTTCAAATAAGTGGACGCAAATGGGGCCTGTAAAATCACCTGATATGCATGGACAAACACACATATGTTTACTTTATGAATCTGTTTCCTAGTCATAGTTGAAGTGTACCATGTGGCGTAGATTTGCCATAGGGTTATTTTAGTTGCAATGTTTTCTTTGATCATGTTAACTGCTTGACTACTCTCTCTCTCTCTCTCTCAGTTTCTTTTTCCTTTTTTCCTGCAGTAACTACTCCCTTTCATTTACATTTTTTTCTTTGAGAAATTTGCTGAAACTGGGCTAAACTTCTTGTTGGAGATGATGAAAAACTTTCAGGTGTGACTTGTCATGGAATTCTATGTGCTCTTCAGTTGTATTGGTTTATGCTCTATGAGAGGGCTCTTACTATAATGTGATTTATTTGGCAGACTTCTGAATTTTGTAATCAATTTTACCGGACTTACTTCGTGACAATAGAGCAAGAAATTTTTGCTGTCTTAACAGACATTTCATAAACCTGGGTTCAAGTTGCATGTCTTGGTGTTGCAGCACTTGTTTTGCCTGCTAGTTAATCTTGTTTTCCCTTCTCCTTTCACTCTTTACTTAGAAACAAGTTCATTACATTTTTTTACCCCAAATAGAGTTAATTGGAGTTAGGGTGTGTTTCTAGGTGGAGTCTGGTTCATTGATAGAACCTTTGTGGGATGTAACAACTGTTCCTTATCCATATCCAAACAATGTAATGTTTGTACGTGAATATGCCATAAAACTTTTGGGTACATCATTCCCCAACATGGCAATAACTGAGGTATGGAATGCATACGTAATTCTAACACCATATTCTCTCAGGATATCACTTATTTGGTGAGCTTTGCAGGTAACCCAATTTGTAAGTGGACTGTTTGAGTCAAGAAATGATCTTTCCACATTTAAGAATCACATACGAGACTTCCTTGTGCAGTCAAAAGAGTTCTCAGCACAGGTAAACACCAGCATAACTTATTTCCATTGTTTAATTTTCTCAGAAATGCAGCTGTTCTCATTGTTGATTGAGATGTTTAATTATCCATGTGGGATTTGATGACTAACAAAAAAAAAATGTTGTATTTGATGTTGTTGGGAGTTAGAGCCAGATTTCGGTCTAGGAAAAGTAGTTCTTTAAGAAACTTAGAATTCGAGGTGTTGACGTCCCAAAATCACCAAATGGTGTCAGATTAGCACGAAACTTGGCACACATGACCGCCTAGGCACGAGAGACTTGTGGGAGAAGACGGGACTCGAATTGGGTTCCCAGTTTGGGAATTAGAGCCGGATTTCGATTTAGGCAAACTAGTTCCTTAAGAAACCTTAAATTCGAGGTGTTGACGTTCCAAAATCACCAAATGGCGTCGGATTAGCACGAAACTTGGCACACATGACCGCCTAGGCACGAGAGACTTGTGGGAGAAAACAGGACTCAAATCGGATTCCTGGTTTGGGAGTTAGAGTCGGATTTCACTCTAGGCAAACTAGTTCCTTAAGAAACTTAGAATTTGAGGTGTTGATGCCCCAAAATCACCAAACGGCGTAGGATTAGCACGAAATTTGGCACACACAACCGCCTAAGCATGAGAGACATATGGGAGAAGACGGGACTCAAATCGGGTTCCCAGTTTGGGAGTTAGAGCCGGATTTCACTCTAGGCAAATTAGTTCCCTAAGAAACTTAAATTTGAGGTGTTGACGCCCCAAAATCACCAAACGGCATTGGATTAGCATGAAACTTGGCACACACGACCGCTTAGGCACGAGAGACTTGTGGGAGAAGACGGGACTTGAATCGGGTTCCTAGTTTAGGAGTTAGAGCCGAATTTTACTCTAGACAAACTAGTTCTTTAAGAAACTTGAATTTAAGGTGTTGACGCCCCAAAATCACCAAACGGCGTCAGATTAGCACGAAACTTGGCACACAAGACAGCCTAGGCACGAGAGACTTGTGAGAGAAGACGAGGCTCGAATCGAGTTCCCAGTTTGGGAGTTAGAGTTGAATTTCGCTCTAAGCAAACTAGTTCCTTAAAAAACTTAAATTCGAGGTATTGACACCCCAAAATCACCAAACGGCGTCGGAATAGCACGAAACTTGGCACAAACGACCGCCTAGGCACAAGAGACTTGTGGAAGAAGACGGGACTCAAATCGGGTTCCCGATTTGGGAGTTAGAGTCGGATTTCAATCTAGGCAAACTAGTTCCTTAAGAAACTTGAATTCAAGTGTTGAAGCCCCAAAATCACCAAACGGCGTCGGAATAATACAAAACTTGGCACACGATCGTTTAGGCATGAGAGACTTGTGGAAGAAGACGGGACTCGAATCAGGTTCCCGATTTGGGAGTTAGAGCCGGATTTCACTCTAGGCAAACTAGTTCCTTAAGAAACTTGAATTCAGGTGTTAACGCCCCAAAATCACCAAACGGCGTCGGAATAGCACAAAACTTGGCACACACGACTGCTTAGGCACGGGAGACTTGTGGGAGAAGACGGGACTCGAATCGGGCTCCCGGTTTGGGAGTTAGAGCCGGATTTCTGTCTAGCCAAAATTATTTGTTTAATTATCTTTATAATTATATAGTAGTTAAATTTTTATGTTTTTTTATAATTAAAATATTATCATATAATTATATTGTCATTAATTTTTTTTTTCCAGATATTTCTCGAGTAGGAATTTGCTTCTTGTGGAGTGCAGACGTGTGAAGAATGTGACTAACTTTTATTTTTGTTACCCACGGAAGAATCATAAGGAAAATTTTTGTTGTTGATTTACATTATTTTGAATTGTGAACAATATTATATATTTAAACATTATATTTGTATTATACAATATTATGTAGTGGGGTAATTTTACTGATGTGTTGTTATGAATGTAAGAATATTTTCATTTTGGATGAATTGTTATTTTTATACTAAAATTTTTATATTATTATGCAATTATTAGTTTCTTTGTAGTTATTTTTCATTTAATACAGGTAATTTTCATATTTTTAATAATTTTATTGCAGTTTTTTTTTTTTTTTTTTTTTTGCGACGGCACCATGCCGTCTGAAAAAACATTAGAACCAAAAGTATTTTGTTGAAACAAAAAATCTTTTGCGACGGCATTTTTACCGTCTCAAATAATCTTTAGCGACGGCAGGTATCCCATCGCAATAAAAACCCTTTAGCGACGACATTTTTTGCTGTCTCAAATAACACTTTTAATGACGGTAAAATAGTGTCATCGCAAAAAGTCTCAAGTTTTAACATATTATTGGTGACACCAAAATTCTGTCGCAAAAGGCAACTTTTGGCATCGCAAAAAAAAAGGGACGACATGGTGCGTCGCTAAAGGGTTTTAGCTATGCCCTTTGTTGCGACCCCCCATTTGCCGTCGCTAAAAGTCAGTTGTTGTCACAAAAAAGTATTTAAGACGGCATTATGAGTATTTGCAATGGCAAAGTCAAAATTTTTGTAGTGTCTACCCCTTTAACTGTCAAAGCTTCTTCTCATTCTGCTTGTTCAGATAGTCTTCCATTTTCTAATCCTTCTCTGTATAGGAGTATTGTTGGTGGCTTACAGTATCTCACCATTACCAAGCCTGATTTAGCCTTAGCTGTTAACCAGGCATGCCAGCATATACATCTTCCTACTAATGTTGATTTTCAAGCTGTCAAACGATTGTTGAGATATGTGAAAGGTACTATTCACCATGGTTTGCAATTTACATCTGGTCACTTCTTTCTTCTTGCTTTTTCTAATTCAAATTGGGCTAGAGATAGTATTGATCGAAAATCCACTTCAAGTTACTATGTATATTTGGGTCCTAATCTGATTTCTTGGAGTGCTAAGAAACAGTCCATTGTTTCTCAATCATCTACTAAGGCTGAGTATAGGGCCTTGGATAATGCCACTGTTGAATTAACTTGGTTGCAGCAGTTACTGACAGACATGCATATTACCTCATCTTTCATTCCTGAGCTCTGGCGTGATAACCTCTCTGCTATGGCATTGGCTTCTAATCCAGTTTTTCACTCGCGTTCTAAACATATAGAAATCGATTGTCATTTTATTCGAGATAAAGTTGTTGTCAAACTAATTGATTTGAAGTATGTTCCTACCACAAATCAGGTGGCTGACATCTTCACAAAACCTCTTTCTATCTCTCGTTTCCTTTATTTGAAAGACAAGCTTCTTGTGCAGCGTTGCCCCATCAGCTTGCAGGGGATTGCTAAGATTCATACTCGGTTGCATCAATCACAATTAGAGGAAGAGCCAAAGCTGCAGTGACAGCTAGAGGAGAAGTCAACATTGATATCCCATCTGTCACAGTCATGTTTCACTAGATGTTTTTCAAATAATATTTATAACAGTTACAGACACAATTGTAAAGTTTGTTAGATAATTAGAGCTGTTTGTTAACTGAGTTGGTTAGAATACTTGCACTATATAATATCTTGAGCTGTGTATATTTAAATTATTGAATCAATAGAAAGAGACTTATATTTTCATCATCCGTCGGGCTTTATCTTGTATTGGGGCGCTCTATGGCAATAACAGTTCGACAAAAGCTATTGAACTCGCCTAGTTAATAATTGCCGAGAATTTGGACGATGCCACTCAGCTCTGTCTGCTACATTGGAAGATGATGTGTTCGGCGTGCTTAGAGTCGTGAGTTGATTTCGAAATGCCAAAATGATGCTGTAAAAATGTACGCAATTGCTCTTGCTCATGAGAATCATTATTGCCGACAATCTTGTTGACGAGGGTGTGGTACCGAGCATGGTGCACTTCCAGCAAGTTGGTAGATACTCCGCTAAGGGCTGAGCTTGAGTGTTCCGATTGAGATTTAGTCGGCCATTTGTTAATGGATGAATTTGGCATGAGGAAAGGTTTGGACCATGTTCCAGTGCTCTCCATCGGCGACTCTCCTGGTTTGTTTTGTCATCAGTTGCATGTGGAAGGTGGTGTCGCTACAAGGGTGGTTTGTGCATCGCCGAGTAGAGAGCGAGATGGTGACAAGCAAACCGTGATTGCATGAGCATATCGTGTTTGTTGAGGTGGAGCTGATGCTTTGCTTCCCTTGGTCAGCAATGGACATTGATTGCTCCTGCGATGTTGCTAAGAAGCTTTTTAGAGAGAGAAAATATAGGCCCAAACTTCTCGTCTCGGCAACTTTGTTATAATAACATTTATAGGGGGAGAAAATCAAGACCCAGATCTACAAACTTCATCTTATCACAGTAAAAAATTAAAATTTTAGAAATCAAAACTTAGAGGTAAAATTATTTTTTAAGGATAAAATAATTTTGTTACGAAAAATGTCGTTATTATATTTTTAGCAATAAAAATTAGATAGTAATGATGAATTATTATTCTTTTGAGACTAAATTTTTTTGTCTTAAAAAATAAATCATTTTAAAACCAAATTATTTTGTCCCTAAAAGTCTATTTATTAGTGACATATTTAAAATTTTGTCGCTAAATGCCTTATTTTTGACTTTTTGAGACGACCTTTTAACGATTATCTTCATGACAATCTAAATGTCTTTTGCAACAAAATTTACATTTTTTATTTGGTCTCTAAAACTCTTATATGTTGTAGTGTTGACAACAAAGATAAAAGCAAGAAAAATGATTTGGACCTCTAAAAAAACACCTCTAATTTGTCTTTTTCTTCTCCTATTTTTGTCTTTTACTTCACTGTTTTTTTTTTTTTAATTCTCGGACAGCTCATTAGAGCTGTACGGCATGACCTCTAATTAGAGGTCTGCAGCAGGATTGTAAAAGCAAATGCAAATGCCATTAGGAGACATAGAAAGTGGAAGGTTATAGAGTAGTATTGTGGAGAGTCTGTTAGCTATTATAACTATTAATGGCATTATCATATTTTGGTTACTTTAATGAGTTAATTATTATAATAGTCACTCTGTGACTCTCTCTCTCTCTTTCTCACTCTCTCACGCCTCTGACCTCCGCCAGCTCTCTCCCTCGCTTTTGTCCCCATCGTCATCGGGTGCGGGAGCATCACCGCCATCGGACATGAGCACCACCATTGGAGCATTGCCCCAGGTATGTCCTCTCTCTATTTTGCCTTTTCTTTATCTTTCGGTCTCTCTACCCCTAATTTCAGCCTCTAGGGTTTTCTTCTTCCATTTGCATACCTTCACACATACCCGACCCCAAATCGATGGGGTTTCTTCTTCTAGGGTTTTCTGCTCTATTTTGATCTTAGGATTGTGGGTTTGATGGCTACATTTGTTCTTGTTTATCATTTAGATTTTTTTTAATTTTTTTTTAATGCTTCTGTTGTATACAACGCGAATCCATTGGATGATTATTCGAGCAATCTCATTTTTTCGTCACGCCAGATTTTGAAGTGAACGTTTTCTTTTTTGTATTTTGATTCATTGTTGAATTTATGCTTTTCTTCGTAACTACGATGGCTCAAAAGCAGTTTGAAACAATGCCTCTCTTAGTCCAGAACACCATATGGGTATCTCTCAAAAGACACAAATCCAGATGGATTCTTCTATTTTCTCAATATCTTTGTATGTGCAGTTCAAATTAACGGTTTGGATTTGATTCTTAGCTGTGACTCTGCATTTTAGTAGTTATTCATTCTGTTTTAATATGATTTTTATTGGATTGGTTTGGAATGGTGTTTTCTCTGTTTGTGTTGGTGTGTATACATAGTGTGTATATATAAATCTGTAGTATGTATGATTTAAAATCTGTTTGTATATATAAAATCTGTTTATGTGTATATATAAATTTGGTTGTATAATTCTGTTTGTATATATATAAATATGTTTATATATATGAATTTTGTGTATAATCAAAGAGTGAGAAATAAATTAAGAGAAGTATACAAATAGAGAAGAAAAGCCATAGGGGTATTATGGTCATTTTAAGCCTGTCGTTAACAAAGTTTGAGTTACAATTTAATTCAAAATTACAAGAGAGTTCTCCGTATATTTTTAAATCATAAGGGGTAAAACGTTTCAATCATAAGGATAAAATGTTGCAGACCTTAATACAAAGGGGTAAAGTAAGTTTAGTTTACAAAATAAAGGTAAAGGGTGAGTGTTCACACGTGAATTTCATTCATTATTTCTATTCTGTGATACATTCTATAATTTATTTATAATATAAAAAATTAAAAAAAGCTCTTCATTCCTTCTCAGAAAAGTGCATACTATTTGTAAGCATTTTCCGAGAGAAATGTTGCAGACAAAGTTGTATTTGGCCAAGTTTATCTAACTTGGCCAGACCCAAGCCAAGACACAACTTCTCACATAGATAACCCTCCTGCTCTTTATTTTTATCATGCTAACTTGTATAATCGGCAGTGGCGCTCTTGTGTCGCATGCTTTTGAATTGGAGTCCGAAGTACAAGCACTGTTCTATGGTGCACCAGCAGTTATCGCATTCCGTATCCCCATAAAGGCTGCTCTACAGGTTTGGCATTCCAGCCATTTCATTTGTATATATAGGTATACCTAGTAAGTTATCATCCTCTTATCACTCAAGCTGTTAGTTTTTTTAGAACCATTTGATCCCTCGTCATCCATAATCAAGATAAAGTTAGTTAAGCATCAAAAACTTGTAAACTCACTTTGTTTTAGTAAATTAACAAATGTTGAATTCTACAATAGGAATAACCAACACGCATAACCAAAAATTATAATTAAAATGTTGTCATGACGAAAATTAATCCTACCGAAAGAATAAGAAGA